TTTTTATGTTTAACATTCTTTTTATAGATACAAGTATTTAATATAGCTATAATTATATATAATATATAAATATATATAATTATAATATAGTTATATTTAATAGTTATAGGATGCAGGTTCGAATCCTGTCAAAGGACGAATATTTTCTATGAAGATTTCTCGGACATTCAGGCCGGTAAATGTTATTTAATACTGTTTATTATAAACAGAGCATTTACTTAAATACTTGTATCTATAAAAAGAATGTTAAACATAAAAATGTCTTTAATAAATTGTCGGACTTTGTCCAATTCTTAATGTATATATATATATATATATATATATATATATATATATATATATAAGTAACATTATAACAATTATAGCAGCAATTTTGTAAAATAGTTAAAGTGCAATAAAAAATTGCAAATATAAATTAAGTTATCACCCTCAGATAACGTTAATTTTTGAAATTAAAAGAAAGCGTTTCATGCGATTTTTTTAAAAAATGGCGACTATCAGTAACACTAATTTTTCTTAACAATTCATCCCTGAAGATAATCTTGGATGAGATTGAAAGTACTTGGGAAAATAAAGATATATATATAAAAAAAAAAAAACTACGGTGCCTTTCTTAATGATTTTAGTAACAACATTAAGAAATTGATCCATGAATTTCAAAGGATTAAAATAAAAATATCTCTAGATTATTCAATTAAATATTTTGAATGAAAATATGCTGCCTAAACAAACACACACACACACACACACACACACACACACACACACACATATATATATATATATATATATGGGTGTGTGCGTGTATATGTGTGTCTGCGTAGGTGTGTGCTTCATATAATCGTTTTATGTCATATATTAGCTATATACATAGTATTGTTAGGTATAGATAGGTAGAAAATGGTTAGCTATTCATATGTACAAAAACACAAATATCAACATATTAAATATAATCACATTGTTTTAGAAAGCAACTGGTTCTCTCTCTATATATCTATCTCTGTCTCTCTCTATATATTCTCTCTCTCTCTCTCTCTCTCTCTCTATATATATATATATATATATATATATATATATATATATATATATATATATATGCATAAGGTTATCCATTCTTTGCCTCAGAAAAATACTTTTATTAAAATATGTAGTGATAGGACAGGCTACTCAAACTCCTAGTGAACACCAGAAGCCTATGCGTAAAATCAATTTCAGTTACAGGTTACTTTAGTGGGTATATATATATATATATATATATATATATATATATATATATATATATATATATATATATATATATATATATATATATATATGTGTGTGTGTGTGTGTGTGTGTGAAACGGGCTTTGCATAGATCGTATTCTAGATGGCAGTTATTATTGCCGTAAGCACACTTTCGTACGTGTAAATTCAACAATTTTCATATAATATTTTATCTATGTATTTGATTGCACGCCATGAGGTAGATAAAAATAGTTATTCTGTCAGTCCTTTTCAATGATTCTATGCAACATATTTATTTTACACCCGATAATAATAGCGAAAAGGCTTCATCTAATAATTAAATGAATTAGCAGCACAGAAATATTGATACTTAACGAGTATACGTTGTAATATGAATAATAATAAAACTACTATTAAGTGAGTATAGGTTATTACTGCAGTTTTAAAACCGGGATCTTTCACTTTTTCTGTTCCGTGTTTGAATAAATGAGGAATTAATCTTACTTTTTTTTTTTACACATTTTCGACAATTTAGCCCAAAAGTTTGGTCATTGTATTTTTGGTTCTTGCAAATGCTGTGGATTTTATTTGCTTAGAATGGCTTGCAATTTACTTTACTGTTGAAATTCACTAAAAACAACTTTACTATACTAATTTTTCTGTGGAAATTTACTCTAAAATTTAATTACATTACTAATTTTTTACTTTTCTCGTGTTTTATATATTGGCGATTGTAAATATTCATAGTTAAAGACAAAATGTTGCAAAGTTTTTATATAAAATTGAGTGGTCAAGAATTAATACAGGGTTTCTGACTGAACGAACAGAACAATATATACGGGGGGGGGAATAAATATTCATACACCTTGAAAGTTTTAATTAGAAGTGTTATAACTTAAGAACAAACTTAAAATCCATACAATATATCTACACCTTTGCATAATGCTGCAATATGCAAAAAAACAAAAAAACAAATCAAAAACAAAAAACAAATCAAAAACAAAAAAATCAAAAACAAAAAAATAAAAAAGAAAGGAATTATAAAACTTTGTTTTAAATATTAGGTTGGTGCAGAAATAATGTCATTTTTTGACGGCCAACTTAACGTCAAAAAACGACATTATTTTTGCACTAACCTAATAAAATTATGTGTTATTTATAAAATTTAAAGATGAAAAAATATTCATACAAAATATGTCTTTTATATCAAAAGGCTTAATTTTTTACCTTTATTTACATAATTCTTTGTAAGATTTTGCTAGATTCTTCTAATTATTTTATTACCGGAACAATCTAGAACATTCTGCAATTCATTTCTTATATAAGGTTATCTCCGCATACAAATCATACACAAAAATTATCCTCATGGGGGGATGCAAGAAATTATCAAATTCGCAAAAAGAATTGATCATCAGGCATTGGAAGGAATGCAAACGCTATAGGATATACTGAATATACCATTTACTACTATTAGTTCTATTATTGCTAAGTATAAAAAGGTGAAAACTGTTGAGAACAAATCGAGATCTGGTGCACCACACAAGATTTCTCCCAGATCAATGGGAAGAATTCAGCGCAAAGTTCAAGAAAATCCAATGACTACTCCGAGAGAAATAAAGGAAGAATTAAAAGCATCAGGTATTATTGTTACGGAGCGAATAATAAACAACAAATTTCATAGAAGTCAAATTAGATCGCGTTCTCCAAGAAAAAAATCCACTACTATCGAAGAAACATAGGGATGCCTGGTTAAAATTTTAAAACTTGTTTGTGAGCATAAGAATAAACCTGACTCATTTTGGGTTGGGTTTTTTTTATGGACAAATGAAGCAAAAATTGAAATATTTGGGCGTAATTCAAGGAGTCATGTTTGAAGAAAAGACGGCGCAGCCTTTGTACCGAAGAAAACAATCCAACGGTGAAATTTGATGATGGCAATATCAGGGTTTGGAGATTCGTTTATGTTAATGATACGGATAATTTAGAGTTAATGTATGGTAGAATCAATTGAAAAAAATATGCCAAATTGTTTTTTTTTAAATCAATAATAAAGCTTGGACTCCCAAACAAAAGGGTTTTGCAACAAGATAATGACACTAAACATACGGCTAAAACTACGAAAAAATGGCTTTTTGAAAACAATGTCAATACACTCGAATGGTCATCACAGATCGCGTTCTCCAAGAAAAACTCCACCACTATCGAAGAAACATAGAGATGACCAGTTAAAATTTGTTCGTGAGCGTAAGAACCTGACTCATTTTGGGAAAGTGTTTTATCGTTAGATGAAGCAAAAATTGGATTATTTGGGCGTAATTCAAGGACTCACGTTTGGAGAAAAGACGACACAGCTTTTCCACCGAAGAACACAATCGCAACAGTGAAATTTGATGGTGGCAGTATCATGGTTTGGGGATGTTTTTCTGATAATGGTACGGGTAATTCAGAGGTATCAGATGGTAGAATGAATTAAAAATATACCAATATGTTTTGAACTCTAATTTGGCTGGGTCAATAATAAAGGTTAGACCCCCAAATGAATGGATTTAACAAGATAATGACTTTAAACATACGGCTAAATCTACGAAGAAATGGCTTATTGAAAACAATTTCAATACATTCACATAGCCATCACAGTCTCCAGACTTAAATCCAATAGAGAATTTGTGGCATTTATTCAAAATTCAATTTAATAAAAGAGCTTCGATAAAAATCCTGGACCTAAAGAGAATATGCAAAGAAAAATGGACTTTTAGTCCATTCTTCTTTGCAACGAAAAGTTGCAAATCATTCATTAAAAGCTACATAAAGAGATTGATTGTGGTTGAATTGAGTAATGGATATGCTACGTATTAAATAGGTATTATAAGTTTATACGAATACTATGTCGCCTCCAAATTTTTTTAATTTCATATAATTTCATTAGTATAATAAATTTTTCTGATTTTTTGTATATTGCAGCATTATGGCATAGTATACGAATAGTGTATGGATTATAAAATTCTTTTATGAAATCTGTTATAAAAAAATATCATGGTGTACGAATATTTCTTTACCCACTGTTTAAATGCATAAACTAATAATTTATAAAAAAAAATGTAATGTAAATAAAAAGAAAGGCATTAGAAATCAGGAAGAGAGAGATTATTGTAAATATTGAATGAAGTGATAAAAATAGGTTGTTATATGTAATTAAATGATAATTCTTTTACAGAACGAATATGGAGAAAATCAAGAAGAAAGAGTCAAAGGTTATGAACTAATGTAAAAATTACTGATAGACGTATTTCAAGTAAATGATTTTACCATGAAAAAGAAATCAAAAATGAAATGATTGCCAGTAAGTAGTCAGCAACCAATATTACTGACATAATAGGGTAATAACATGAAAGAATTGTTAATGTTTTTCTGAAGGTTGATTATTGAAGGAAAGTAGGTAACGTAATGCACTCACGTTACCTACTTTCCTTCAATAATCAACCTTGCGAAAAAACATTAACAATTCTTTCATGACATTTCATAACAAAATGATTGGGGTGTTGATGTCCTGTAATCAGATTCCTGTTTTAAGATCTACGTCGAATTGGTCGAATCGTCAAAGTCACTATGAATCAAGGAGTAGGGTAAACGTCAACAACCAAGTAAAATGCATTCCTTACTAATTATATATATAGTATTTTACAATATAATGTATTAATAGAAGCAGAGTAACATATGTTAATAATTAAACAAATTTAGTTCGAAAGTAAGTTTGCTGTGGGGTAACCTATAGAGATAAATCTGTCCATTTGTAATCTTTCATTATTTCAATTTTCTTTCTTTCTTTCTTTCTTTCTTTCTTTCTTTCTTTCTTTCTTTCTATCTATCTATCTATCTGATTTCATTCTCATTTCTTTATATATATTTATATTCTTTCATTCTTATTTCTTTATATCTATCTACTTTGTTTCCTTCTTTTTATCTCTCTTTCTTTCTATGTTTGTCTGTTTATCAATCTATCTGTTTTCTATCTATCTATCTATCTATCTATCTATCTATCTATGTTTTTTCTGTTTTATTGTTTGTTTCTTTCTTTTTTCTTTCTTTCTGTCTGCTTATCTATCTATCTATCTATCTATCTATCTATCTATCTATCTATCTATCTATCTATCTATCTATCTATCTGATTTCATTCTCATTTCTCTATATCTATCTATATTCTTTAATTCTTATTTCTTTATATCTATCTATATGCTTTCTTCCTTTCTTTCTTTCTTTCTTTCTTGCTTTCTTTCTTTCTTTCTCTGTTTTGCTTTTAATACTGCTTTACTTTTTTTTATTTCTGTATTATTCTATATATGTCGATTTTCCTACTTCAGAATTTTATGTGTCTATCGATGTTATGAAAAAAATAAACTTGTTTCTATATCTTCCCGTATACCCTCTACTCAGTGCAAATATCTCTCGATCTTACTGCAGATTCTTTATATATTAGTCTTATCTGCACACACACACACAGATATATGTGAGCGTGTATGTATTTTTATTTAAATTTATTTATTTCATAGCTATATACGTATATTGGATATTGTACATACACCATTGTAATCGTTGCTGTACTGGCATAAGCGATACTATATCAATGAAAATTAATGGAAAAGATTTCTTAAATTTTTAATGTGACTCCAGAATAAGTTTACTGATGTTCACTTTTTCGAGTCAGCCTTATTCATAGGACAAGGGGAGAGGCGCCACACAGCGCCTAATGTCATAGGGAGAAGTCATTGGTTGTGAATGGGACATGTAATGCGAAGAAACACAGTAACAATAAAATGATCAAACAGTCTGAGCTATGGAATCCCAGTGGCACCAGAAAGAGAAGAAAGACGAGTCATACACGCTGCATATCGATTTAATGCTCTTATGCTGAATGGCACTCGTTGGAGAAATGAGTTCAGTAGGAACAATAAGCCTATCATACATTCACAGAGATTCTTTGCCTCATTAGGCATACAAGATTATATGTCAATATATAAAAATATAAACATATATATTCCTATGTATATCAATAAGTGAGTAGCCTAACAATGAAAAAGAACACATTTTATACAAAAATGTTCTTTTTTTCAAAATAATATCTTGTCAATGGCCATAATACAGTAATCAATAATAATCACGCATATATTGGACATTATGCAGTGAAAATTTCAGATCGAAATTAAGTCAATAAATATGGAAATCATGTAAAACAATGTACCTATTAATCAAAAAATGTATTTAAATGCATCGATAAATCCGCTGCCTAAGTTGGTTTTCTTTTTTGTGATAACTTTCTTACTTGTTAATGCACATATATCGGTATTTAATATTAATCACGTCGATCAATCATCATACAACAAAAATTTCACTTAAACATTTCAGTTAATAAATGAATGGGGCCATGAACTTATTGATGCAACCTTATATATTTATTTGCGGAGAAACACACTTACTGTCATACGTTCATACGTACATACACATACACACACATTTATATATATATATATGCGTATGTATGTGAACAATATAACATTACTTATATACATATAATTTGTTACGTAATGAAATTAGTTTTGAAATAATGCTATAAAGCCAGTGAGTCGTGACTATTTCGTATCAGTTGTCATTACAAATACTGTTTAGATTTCAAAACTGAACCCAATCATATGCAAGTTGGAAAATATATATATATATATATATATATATATATATATATATATATATATATATATATATATATATATATATATATATATATATATATATATATATATATATATATATATATATAATATAATTAAAATATATCGGTTTCGTTCGGTTTCATGAGACCCAGGTTCGAATTTCACCATGGTCGATTTATCGGGAAGGAAACTTCTTCACAAATCGGTGTTGGAGCGATCCTTGCATGCAGTACATTTGGAAGGTGTTTGAAAGGGGGCAGGAACGAAGTCACAGGTCATCGATCATAAAAATATATATATATATATATATATATATATATATATATATATATAAACAAATAAATACATTGTTAAATGAAATGTAAGTTTGCAAGTAAATAATTAAAGTTTGCAATAATAAAACGAACAAAATCTATATATTGAGATTTACATGAAAAGGAAAAATATATAAGCAAAGTAAATATAATGTATGTATATATATCTTCAGTATCTATTCCATATATAAACGCAAGAAACTCGGTGCATATATATATATATATATATATATATATATATATATATATATATTAACATAATGAGAAAGAAACAGTAAGATTTATAATCCAGTGTTCTTATTAATTATTATTTTATTTTTAAAAAGACAGTCCTCAATACAATTCTGTTGCGCATAAATATTGTAAATTTACTAATGTAAAAATATGGTCCCATCGCTAAAAAAACAGACGACATGCAAAAAACGGATGTTATCATTTGTTGAACAGGCACCCCTACCCTACCGTAACCTCATTTTGAAAGTAACTCATATTTTGATACACAGGTTGTCTGTGAAAATGACTAACCTATAACCCCTAATCAAAATGATTGAATTCCTCCGTAACCTTTGCAACTAATATCAAGAATGCATGCGCTTATAAATTCAGTAAATTTCAAAATAAATTATTACAAAAATCGCTTGAAAATGAAATAGTACAAGGGATTTTAATTTAATTCTCTAATTAAATTTAAATTTGTAGTTCCTTTTTTTTTGAAACATGGTAATTCCTGTACAGCGAGGGAAACCTATTTTTAAATTAGTAAATTTATAATATATATATATATATATATATATATATAGTAAGAGAGGTTGAGACAGAGAAATTAGAATAGCATGATTATGTTGATCCAAGGAAAAATATGTGAACACGTTTTAAGAAGATAAAGGAGAACTTTTAAATAGAGATAGCAATCATAGTCTTCCATATCAAGAGATATAGCGATAATAATAATTAAATTTAATTGTTCACTTATATAGTTCCTACTCTAAGTTTCACGGGAATTACATCCATTCTTCAATAATTCAAGTTTTTCTTTAAAAGGCGTTATTGTATAACGAAATACTACTCTAAATTTTTCAAGTTTATAAAAACAATTTAAAATAAGTTAACTTATAATAAATATTTTAAGGAAGAAGGAATTCAAAGACATTTGTCATGAACTGTCTTTTATAAACAATGAACTTCTTTTAAGGAAATTAGGATTTCTGAAAATAAATTCAATTTTACAATCAAATCTTCTGAGAGATGGATACAATTTAATTGAATCTTCCTTGTTTGTCACATGTTCTGTCCATGATATTCTCACCATCCTTCTTTAGAATCGCATTTCCGTTGCCTCAAGTTTCTTCTTCACTGACGAAGACGTTGTCGAACATTCGCTGTCATAGTAAATGACTGTTATTTACATAGCAGTTCAATACTCTTCTTTGTTTCTAACAATTTTCATGTCTCTTAATAGTTTGCTTATGTTTTGAATCACATCTTTCGCTATTTCAACGCATCTTCGGATTTTCGTGTCACATTTTCTCTTCGTTGTTAAACGAAAAAATCACAAATATGTAAAATTTGAATAAACCTGATGAATAACCATATTCTTGTCTTGCGCCCCTTTCTATTTTTGTGTACTTACTGAATTCATTTTTTATTCATATGCAGGCGTATTGCTACCAGTATTATTCTAATATGTTTCCAAAATAAATAAAATTTTCCTAGAAGTTCAAAAAGTTATTTCTATTGTACCTTATCAAAAGTTTTTATATAATCTTTAAAACATAAATATACATGTGTCTACTTTTATATTGCTGTTTCTGATGTCATTCTGAGCATAAATATTGCATTCCTTGTTCCATTGTTTTTAACGAAACCGCATTAAACTTGTCTTATTTCCAGTACGCGTTCTGTTAATCTGATTTTTTGATAGTGCTTGTATTTTTTACATTCGACTTCTTCGGATTCTCAATAAAATTATATCTACTAAGGTCTTCCGGTATTTTGCTGCTGTTGTATATTTCCTTTATTTTTCTAATCGTGTCATTTCTTAAATCCGTAAAGGCTGCAAGCATCTGTATTACGATCTTATCCTACTGCTTTATTCTTTTTATCCTAGCTCGGGATGATCTTGTTTCAGAATTTAATATTTCAGGACCGTTCATATTGTATATATTGCAGGTTTTCTCTTATTTATTTTTTATTTAGTCGATCTGATTCTTGTTGCTTCTCTTGGGATTAGATCCTTAAACATCTTGGATGTTCATGAAACTAGGTAAAGACTACTATCTTGTCATTTGCTGTACACCAGTGGACACAGTTTTCTTTGCTTTCATTCGGGTCTCCTATAAGGATTGTAATTTCCTGCGATTTTCATTGAGCATTGGCTTTCTCCATCGTGCAGTAAAACTCAGCATTTTCTTCTTCCATATTTTTTGTTGCTGGTATACATACAATCATAAATATTAAACGGCTACCCTTTCAGTTTAACTACAATAATTATAGCAGATAGATGACAGTATCTCAGCAAACATTTCTATATGTCTTGATCTAGTATTAGTCTTACTTCCCTCTCATTTTTCTTTCCGCCTTCTATCTGTCGTTGTCAAATATCTCTTTTTATATACTCCTAAATATTTAGTTTATACATTTCTTTATATAGATGCGGCAGAAATACCACCCACATATACCTCCCATATATACCTCCTACATAATGGCAATAATTTAGTGGTATTGGTGCCTTCCTCTAGCTAATATCTTACTATTATGTAGGAGGTATTTCTGAAAGATATATGTAAGAGGTATTTTGCCGCACCATTTATTTTCTAATAAGCTACAAAGATTTATTATTCTTACATTACATGTCATTATAGCTATTTTCCTTTGAGGTGAACAGTCACTGGATAACGGCCCGGTGACGTTTGATTTTCCTTAGCGAGTTAGTTCAAGAAGTTTGACCCACTTTACCAACACGGCTTTATTCTTTATATTAGTTTTGCGAACAGTAGCTAGGTGGTCGTCAGGTGACACCTGTTCCACGTTTCTCTTCTAACCAGACGAAGAGTTGATCTCAATAGACTTTACCTCACTTCCCACTAATATCTCTGATATTAGCATTAAGGATTGTCATAATTGACCTTGGGAGTGATTGTGTAGTGGTTTCTCGTTGCTTTTTCTTGATGATTTTATTAACACACAAACTTTAGTAAGGTGTCTATGGACAGATCAAGAGTTCTTCCGCTAAGTGAATTTTTCATTCTTCCTAATTCCCAATAAACCATCTTTTTCGAAGTGACCTTGGACTTGTGTACTGATTATTACAAACCGTATACCAAAGACCTACAAAACCATATATATGTTAACAATGAATCCAATCGTCCAACATCAAGGTTAAATACTTTGAATACATCTGTACAATTTAGAGTA